TTTGAGATAATCACTGCAACGAAATGATGATATTTTGGGACCAAATTTCTGAAATCAAAAAAAATTTTGACATTTTTTTTTTTTTAATTTTGTCATTCAAGAGTAAATTTTAGTCAATTAAGGATGTAAATAATATCTAAAATGTAATTTTTGAAGGATTTGATTTAATTAGTGGTCTACCACTTTAAGTAGTCATTTCAAAAATTTAATTTTTTTCTTTTTAATATAAGGATGATATTAATAATAATTATATTATAAACAGAAATTGTATGTTAAATAAAAATTATTAAAAATGGTTTTTAAGCAATTTTTACAATATATATATATTAAAATATTTTGAACTTTAAATGCATAATAAAAAATTTACACATAGAAAATTAATTTTGGTTTGTTTACATTTTATATGTACTTCGTAACAGCTACGGACAATGCTGTAAATTTCAACCATAGATGTCATAAAAATTTTTTTATGCTATTCAAGGCAGTCCACTAATTAAAGATAAACACGGCAAAAAAAATTTTATTCACAAAAATTACCAGAACTACGGGGTAATTTTTACCCGGATAACTTCGATATGAAACCGGTAACGGTTAAACAGGTGAAAAAAAAAAAAAAAAAAAACTCGCAAATTACCCGGGTAACGTAATACCCGGTAAGAAACCCTAGCAGTTACTACTTAGTTATTTTGTACTTTTCAATCTCAGCTATTCTGTACTCTCTTAGATCCACAAATTAACATTATGTGCAAAACTTAGTTTGTTGACACTTTTTACACAATATAAATATTCAACTTCTTTGATTTCTATTATATTGTTGATACGCGATCAAAGTAAAACAACGCGTGGGGAGAATTCTTGTATATTCGGATTCAATTTTTTAAAATTTTGTTTAGAGCAATCGTAAATTTTTTACTCATGGTTTCCTTATGCTTTCTAGATTAAACGCATTCATGTTAAAATATATGCTATGATTAATAATTATAGAACTAATAATTTATAATAAATTTTAAAACAAACTTATCAAAGGTCAAACAAATATCGGAGAAAAGAGTTATCCTTTTCTGAAAACAGGGTATATATATTTACAACGCAGTAAAAATTGTTCATAATATTCTTTGTACACCTCGCTGAACATCTTCATTTTATGAATGCGAATTTCATGAATGCAGTTGTCAAACTCGGTTTATTAAATTTATACATCAAAAGAATTGTAAAAATATTTACTACAAAAATACCCCCGAAACAGTCGCATAGTCTCTAAGTTATTAAAACTAACCATCATCACTACCATCTTCTATCTCACTACTTTCAGATTCACTAAACGATACTTCTTCACTGCTACTAACTCCACTTATTGAAGATTCTCTTTTTTCAGTGTGTAATTTACGACTTTCATTTGATGTTTTTTCTTTTTTTGTGACTTGATGTTGTTTTTTGTCGCCAGAACATAATTCTAGCCAACGTTTTTCAAAAAATCGAGACATTATCTTGCCTGCTTTACCCACCTAAAAAAAAAAAAAAAATTTAACAATATATTTTAAAAAATTAAAAATTAAATTGGTGAAATATCGAGTTACAATTTTAAAAACTAATGAAGTTAAAAATCACCTCAGAGAAATCTTCATTAAAAATATTACAATTCTTGAACACAAGACGAGTGTCCTTAGCAAAATCTTCTCGATTTTTATATCTAAAAACATAGATAAATATATCTCTAATCTAAAAAAACATCATAATTCCCATCAATTGCAAAGTCACCAAAGGAATTTTCTTATGTTTAAGTATAATTTGAATAACTCCATAATTCGAATGGTTTTTTATAAACCGTTAGTAAGATTTTCCATATAAATGGAAGTTTCAATTTTTCTTAACTTTAAACAACTCATTTAATTATATAAAATTTTTCCAAATTTTAGTTTTTTTTAGTTATCGATATAAGTTTAGCAATAAGTGTTTAGTTCTTTAAAAAAATTTAAAACTCTAAACTCTTAACTAACTGACCAAAACTCTAGACTAACTGACTAAAACTCTAAACTCTAAACTAACTGACCAAAACTTTAAATTAACTGACTAAAACTCTAAACAAATTCACGGCAATTTTAAAATAACTTTTACAATTTATCATTGACAAACCAAGATAAAATTAAAAATGATTGTTACTTACTGATTTTCTCTCAGTTTGTTTTCAATAGTTTGAAAGTCCATTGGATGTTTAATAACTTGGTAGTATTCAGGAAACTAAATTATAATTAATAACTATTATTTATAAAAAACAGAATTAACTATAAATCAGGTTTCACAGTTAATAATATAGTAACTTAAAACTTATGCGACAGCAAAATTAGGACCAAACATTAAAGAATCATAGGTTTTTGTGGTAAAGTAAATTTAAACGCATGAAAAGCACTCAGGATTGAGAATGCTGAAAGCATTCTCAATCCTGAGTGTTCTTCATATGGGTTAAAGTGTCCAGGAGGTTGCTCATCATTTTGCTGTCAAAAAATGTTTTTTTAAATGTGGCAATGTTAGAAAGAAAAAAATGAGAGATCTGGTGGGCAGAAAAAAAAATATTCAGGTAAAAAGCATCAAAGGTTGAATCAAGAGAAATCTAGACAAGTCAATTAGAGTCAGAAGACTATCTGCAGGCTTTGTTAATCAAATCTTATACCAGAGCCAATAATTTTCTGTAAACTGAAATTCTAAAGGTTAAGCAGCTAGAAAGAAGTAAGGTTCTCTGAAGTTTGAAAAACAATAATAATGAAAAAAAATTTAAACATTCTGTTATATATCTTCAACGTGTTCAGGATGCCCCTGACCACATCAAGTAACAGTAAGACAGGCCAAGCACCCTAGTTAGATCATAAGGCCTGGTGGCTTCCAATGGCCTCTAATCTTTTTTACCAACAGACTTGAACAGAATGGGTGCAAATAACTAGATCAAGTTCGCAAGCTTCCCTGGAGACATGGCAACTTCAAAAGTAGTGACAACTTTGTTTTTATGCAGAATGGTGCACCTTTTCACAAAGTGAAACTCATCCAGACAGAAATTAAGTAATCTGGCCTCCTAGCACTCCAGATTTGAACCCTCTGAAATCTTTTATTTAGGCATTTGTTTAGGCCAAGTCTTGTGAGCAACAACAACAAAATGTTGAAGACCTGAAGCCTTTCATCACCCAAGCCTGGTCCAACATGTCAGCTGACTTTATCCAGAAAAGTTTTGTCTTTGAATTGAGGCTGTGATCAAAACTAATAGTGGTTATATTAGTTAGAATTATTCATAAGTAAATTATGAACAAATTTTCAAAACAATTTTAGTTTTAATTTTATTTTTCTGAAATTTTTTGAAGATCTGTAATTATTAAATTTTGCGCTGCATGCAATAATATGATAATTTATAGTTAAAATTATATTTTAAAAGTTCTTCCATAATGTCATTATTAAATTAAAAAATGGCGTTATAGAAACCTATTTTAAACTTAAACCATTATAGATTTAAAATATTTAAAAAATAAAAGATTATATTTTTTATTCATTACTCATAAAATTTATAAAACTATTTTTATTTTTGCAATTAAAAAATTGTAAACTATTTTTATTTCTTATAACTCTACTAAAATAATTGTAACAATGAATTCTTAACATGATATATTTAGCATGATATGATTATTTGAAGAAGGGAGAAGGTCACCACATATATAACCACTTGTATATTATTATTTTAATCATTTTTACCAAGATTAACTATTGTTTAAACAAACAATTATAAATGTAAGCTATAAAAAAAAAAAGAGTTCATGATCTCCATTAAAAGAACTTTGAGGACCAGAAAATTTCTCAGATAATTCCAGATCACTTAACACGACTCTTGATTAAGTACTGAACTTGTTCATTCAAGAATTATTAAAGAAACTTGTCTCTTGCTCAGTTTTATTAAAAAACTAAAATTTTTAACAATTAAAAAAAAAGTTTGCTTATAATTTATACAATTTAAATTATATTACCTAACTATGTAGGACAAACTAATTATACAAATAACAAGAAAAAGAAATTAGAACTCCTTCCCCATAAAGGATGTGCATCTAACACCATCTATCTTTTTATATGCCTGAAAATCTCAGTATTGTGTCTCATTAGTGAAACAATGCGTAGAAGTTAATCAGCAGTAATAAATTTATCTACAATTGTAATCTTACTTGTTTATTGTTAACAGGAACAAGAAAAGGCCAAGCATGTTCATGGCTATCCATTTCTGATAATATTTGTTTGCATAGCTCCATGTCCTTAGGTTGCTTTATTTTGTGTCTTTGCTCTTCTTCTATGACAAGTTGTTCAATACATGGCTTTTTTTTAGATGGTACTTTACTTTTTAGACGTAATTTTTTGCAAACAGGACAAGACCATGGTGAACGCGGAGATCTATTAAAAAGTCAATTTTCATTTCATTTTATCAACAGAGTTGAAAAATTATTGAAAAAACTAATTGAAAAATTACAATATATATATATATATATATATATATATATATATATATATATATATATATATATATATATATATATATATATATATAAATACATATATACATATATACATACATACATACATATATATATATATATATATATATATATATATATATATATATACATATATACATACATACATACATACATACATACATATATATATATATATATATATATATATATATATATATATATATATATATATATATATATATATATATATATATATATATATATATGTATATACATATATTAAGATAAATATATATATATCTAACCTATTATATTTATTTATGATTATTAATTTATCATAATTATCTAGGAAGGAAAAAAGTTGTCAAAATAGCATGTTGCTTTAGTCACACTTAAGCCTCATTAGTCACACTAAGTACATCAATTGTAATATTTGCAACAAAACAGTATCTTGCTAATCTGATAATCCTAAGTACCATCAGTGGCTTTTTGTCTTATCTCAAAACTCACCATCCTATTATTGTCAAAATTTGAGAGTTTTAACTTTGCTTCTGCAATGCCAAAATCTCGAAGTTTCTAGAAAAAAAATGATTCTATTTCCAAACAAAACAATAATGAAAATTCCCATTTTTAACATTAGTGCTAAGTAACAAAGAGCAGAAATGCCTCAAACTACTATGCTAAACTGGTTTGATATTTTTTTGAATCGAATTTTATCAATTACATAAACTTTGTAAGTCAATTACTCAATTAAGCTCCGAATTATGTAATTGCAAGAAAAAAAACTTACAAAATCATGATGGATCATACATACAATAAGATAAAAACTACTCTAAAAATTTGTATTTATGGAAGAAAAAATCTTAGTTGTGTCTATTGGCCTCAATGCTTAGTCAAATTTTTATCACGGTTATATAGGGATGACAATTCATTTCATTTCAAAAGACTAGTACAAATGAGGTTCAATTTGACATGCTCAAAGTTTAACAAACATCACATATCAGTATACATTAATCAAAAAATTTATAAAATAGTCAAAGAACGAGACATTACTTCAAAAATTGATGTTTGTTTGAGAGACAATTCTTTATATTTATGGGTTTTATACAGAGCTCTTCAAACAAGAAGAACTCCAGATAAGCTACAAAAATCAAACTGGATTAAAAAATGATGTTGTAACAAGGTGGAATGTGACATTTTATATTCTGCGAAGAATTTTGCATAAACCAGGAATTTCTGCCACAATACTCATGTTGCTATCTCTTGACTTTACAACTAGAAACTATTCTAGAACTGTATAAATTAAAAATAACTGTATAAAGTAAAACACCTTTGCTAAAACCAGTTGTGATTTTCGGAAAGATCTTCCCTTTCTAACAGGTGTAGCTTTTACTAATGACATATTTAGCAACAGAAATAATAACTCTTACAGTACTTTGATCTGTTACTACATCTCAAAATACTTTTATCTCAAATCATATCTTGTTGAAATGGAGTCATAATAAAAGGAAAGGAACACTGAGTAAGCAATCACATTCCAGTATAATAGTCTCATTGAAGATCTCAACCTCATCTTTAAAAACTATTATTGATGAAAACTATTATTGATGTTAAGCATTAAGATATTTGCCATTCCTGAATCATCAGCAGCATCTAAGAGAGTTATTTATGGAGCTAGCCAAGTCGTCACTTGGACAAGATAAAGTAGAGTGCTTGCTTCATAAGCGGGAAGTTCTGAGTTCAAATTTTAGTACATACATATGTATGTATGTATGTATGTATGTATGTATGTATGTATGTATGTATGTATGTATGTATGTGTGTATGTATAAATACAGGCAAATAATGTTTTTAAAAATCATATAGCAAATAGTAACTTGATTTTGTGATTGGAGTTAAACATATTCATCTTTGGCCTAAATTAGTCCTCATCTGAATTCCAAATATTTATATTAATCTAAATTCTGTGAACAAATTTTTATGTATACGCATAATGTCTTTGGCCATAATTCAAAACCAAAAATATGTTCTGAAGTTTAATAAGTAATACTAAAAACTAAAATTAGAACTAAAATTTGAACTCAGAACTTCCCGCTTATGAAGCAAGCACTCTACTTTATCTTGTCCAAGTGACGACTTGGCTAGCTCCATAAATAACTCTCTTAGATGATGCTGATGATTCAGGAATGGCAAATATCTTAATGCTTAACATCAATAATAGTTTTCATCAATTATAGTTTTTAAAGATGAGGTTGAGATCTTCAATGAGACTATTATACTGGAATGTGATTGCTATATATATATATATATATATATATATATATATATATATATATATATATATATATATATATATATATATATATATATATATATATATATATAATATATTATTATATATGATATATTATATATTATTATATATATCATATATTATATATATATTGATATATTATATATATATATATATATATATATATATAGATTGATATATTAAATATATATAAGAAATGCCTCAAACTACTATGCTAAACGCCTATATATTGATATATATATATATATATATATATATATATATATATATATATATATATATATATATATATATATATATATATATATATTTATATATATATATATATATATATATATATATATATATATATATATATATATATATATATATATATATATATATATATTACTTGTTAAGGGGTGGCTCTAAACATTGCAAGTGATAATATCTTGGACAGAATGCACATTTTATTCTTTTCCCAGTTTTAGTTCCACAGGAGTAACATTGATCACTTCCAGATGCCTAAAATTTGACAGTTTAACATATAATTTAAGATATTAGGAAACAAAAAATTAAATTAATTAATTTTCCAATTAATATACATACCATTAATATACATTCAGGACAAAACCAATCTCCTTCTGGAATCACTTCTAACTTTGGCTAAAATAAAGTAAAACTAATTTAAAAAAATTAAAAATAATACTTTTAGAGTTTTTTATTTTATTTTAATTTGTTTACCATTTTTCTAGTCAAGAGAGAACAAAAAAAAAAGTTAAAGAAAACAAATAAATAAATTAAACATTGAAACACACACACAAAATAGATTATCCAGCAAACACTTTTTTGATTTTTTTCAAAATTTCGTTATTGAAATCTTAGCTTCATACCTTATGTTAACTTTTTAAAATTCAATATGAAGTAGAAAATAGTATATATTAAACAATTAAACCAGGGATGTATTTATGTTCTGCAAAATCATTATGGTTTTTATTAAATCAATTTTTATTATTTTGAAACAAGCATAATCAATTTTTATTATTTTGTTAATAATTGTTAAGCCAATAAAAATCTTACAAATACAATTACAATTAAAATAATACAATTGAAATAATACAATAAGCCAATAAAAATCTTTAAAGTTAAAATGTAGCTTTTGAGTTGTCGTGTGAATTTTGAGATGCTATGTCACAATTAAGCCAATAATTGCATCCCTTTGACTGTTTCATAATGGAACCAAAAAAAATTTTAAATGATAAAAAAATATTTAAATTGTTACAAAACATTAACCTTGAAATCAACATAATTTTCTATGATCCAATAATGTATTAATTTTTACTGAAATTTTTACCAGTAAAAATTTTAGCCTCATTCACTAAAAACTATAATTTTGTTCAATTGTTGATGTGAGGTGTGTGTATATATATATATATATATATATATATATATATATATATATATATATATATATATATATATATATATATATATATATATATATATATATATATACCTTGTAGATTTTTGCAATGTTTTGTAACATAAGTAAGATAACTAAAAAATTATTGAGACAGCATTTCAAAATAATTACATTAAAGCATATTACAAACAAAAAATGTCAGTATTATAAATAAATTATATTTATTATATACAGTATTTTATGAGATAAATTACCTTGCAACAGTACATATGGCAACCACGATCACAAGCATCACATAGTAACAACCGATCTTCATTATCACTTTTACGACATAAAATACAAAACTGAAAAAGAAAAAAAAATGTTGGTGAAAAAACCTGAAAAGCTGCAAGCTAATATATTTTTTTAAAATTCACCTTGCCCTAATATCAGAGGGCTACTTAATTGAGATAACTGTATTTTCCTCTTTTTCTAAACTCTTCATCCCTGTAAATATATCTTTATAAGCCAAGCTGCTACAGAGAGAAATAAGTTTTAAAGAATTTTTTTTATAGAAAAACCCAGAGACTTTTGTATTTGTATTCCTAACCTTAAAAAGGTGCATATACAATGTTATACTAAATCAACTAAAAACCTTCAGTATATCAGGGTTTGGGCAAGTTAAAAACATTAGTGTACTTTAAAAAAAAAAAAAAAAAATTCTAAAAGAATAGAGCAGTAATATTATAGCAAAAAATACTTTTTTTTTTCTTTAGTGATAGAGAAAAAAGTTTTTAAACTCAAAACTTTAACTTAAAGTAAAGGCCTAAAAATTCACTTTATAGACCAAATTTCAATTTAGCATTGTTCCCAGACTCTGATCACCATGATTTTTAAAAATTGTTCTTTAACATATCAAAACTATTATTAAAAAAAAAAAAGGTTTTCTAGGATGGCTCTAAGAAATGCCTAATTAAAAAGGTATTCTAGGATGACTCTAAGTAATGTCTAATTTGCTTTAAAGTAATGTCTAATTTGCATAAAAGAACCATGCTTTTATGCTAAAATATCAATATAAAAATTAGCTGAAATAAGGAAGTGAAAAAGGGATTGGAAAACATTTAGTTTAAAAAGCGTCAATTGTTCAAAATTATTGATCGCCATGAAATCATTATTTGAGTTAAACCAAGTCAGAGAAAATTGTTTCTTATTTAAATTACCAACTAGTTTTCTTCCATTTTCAACCACTTCTATGATTTCATTTTTGTACTAATCTATCCTAAAATTAGTCAAATATATTGTGACAATACCCTGAACATAAGATGAAGATAACCCGAACACAACTTGATTCCTTGCTTAGTTTTAATTTTTGTAACCTTGGCTGTTTTAATAAAAAACTTCATCTTCAAATAGTTTTCATCTTTCTTCCATTCTGAAGAAAGAAATTTGAGCCATTTACCATTATCTTTTAAATAATAAAAGAGCAACTAAGATTGTTTCCGATTATACAACAAAAACTCTGATCTGTTTTGAATGGATGGAAGAACAGATTTTATAGAATTTATAGTAAGTGGTTTTTCTTTATCCATTAACTTTAACACAATATTAGCCCTTTCTTTTGCATAAATTTTATTAAACAAATTCTCAGTTAGATACCAAGGGTACCTAGAAAAACCTTCTAGATCCTTCTGAGATGAATTAGATAAGCTTGGGATCTGTCGAAGAGTATATATACTCTCCTAGGTATTTGTAAAACTGATTATCAGTAACTGGTGCATCAGAGTCTTTTGTTGCTTCTAGCCAAACTTTATTATACAGAACTGAATAAAATTCAAAAAGACTTTTAGTTTTGTATCGGAATTGAGCAAACTATCTTTAAAGATAAACAACTTTGGTGCATACAATAAATGTGAAATCTTTCTAGTATGATGATTTGCTCCATATTTTAGATTCTGGTCAGCCTAAGAGATAAAGTACTAATTCTCTAAGATTTCTAAGAACAGTTTCTAAGAGTTTCTAAGAACACAAGTTCTATTGTGTACTCTTAGAGAAATTTTCAAGATTTAAGGACCTGATGTGTTTGAGAGGAACTTTTTCTGAGCAAAACCATTCTTACTGATAATCTTTGAAATCTATTTCATCATTAGCATTTTTTTCTTATGTAAACAATGTGTTGCAAAATGCTCCCAGGATCAATTCTAAAATGTGATGGTGGCAAGCACGAAAAGAAGATTTTTCTGATTTCATAGTACTGTAACTAACTTATATTTTAAAATCTTGCTTTGATTGTGAAATGCCTCCATAAACTATTTATAATAACAATCAATAACTTGCAAGTGATGCCTTTAAATACCAGATAAAAATTAAACTAAAACTGTAAACAAAATTTCAAAAACCTAATGAAAATTTCAAAAACCTAATGAAAAAAAAACCTAATAAACTTTTGACTTAATATAATATTAAGTCTAACCTAAAAAATTTTAAAACATTTTTAGTAGTGGTTAGAGAGCTTGTTTTTAAGTCATTGAAACAATATTCAACCAAACATACTTTATTTGTTCACTTTAATATTTTCAAGTATTTAAAGTTTTTTTTTGGTGCCATGTCATTTATCTTATGTTTAGTGAATCTTTTCATCAATTTTTTACTTTAAAACAAAATGATTGTACAGAATTTTATCAATTAATTATTATGCATTGTTTATTATTAACATAAACATAACTGACAGCAGCGTACTAGATATTTTAATTTGTTATATTTTGATCAGAAAGTCATCTGATTGATAATAATACTAATATTAATGTGTACTAATAATTGTACTAATATATGTACTAATAATTGTAATATGTAATAATTGTAATACTAATATGTGTACTAATAATTGAAAAAAAAATAACAATAATTAATAATATTAATAATAATAATAATAATAAATAATTATTATATTTGTTTTTATCATTATATGGTTATAAAAAAGCATACAATGATAATGCATTTTTTTTTATAAGCATCGAGATCAAAGTTTTTTCTAGGCCAAGATTTTGTTAAAAGATAGCATGCTGAAACTTACTCTGAATTACACATTACTTTTGAGTGAAATACTGTAAATACTGATTTATTAAATTATTATTATTATTATCAAATAATTAGTAATAAAGCAGTTGTTATTTACTCATATGACATATCATTTATTGCTGTTCCGAGTTTTACAGGGAGGGTACGAGGAGGGTATGGGTCTAGTTGCTAATTTAAACATACTTTATATTTTTATTTTGTATATGCAAACATGCAAGGAACTTTAATCATAAAGCAGACATATTCTTCGAAGGAGTAATACCACAATAACTAAAATTTATGCATCAAAATGCAAAAATTTAATTAAAATGCAAAGTTTTTAAAGAATGCATGTAGTCTAAGTAATCTTTCCAGAAAGGCGATATCTTTTTTACATAAAGAGAAACAATGTTATATGTATGTAATGTTATATGTATGTAATGTTATCAATGTTATATGTATGTAATGTTATCAATGTACACAAAGAGAAACAATGTAGTATGTATGTAATGTTATATGTATGTAATGTTATATGTATGTAATGATATCAATGTTATATGTATGTAATGTTATCAATGTACATAAAGAGAAACAATGTTATATGTATGTAATGTTATCAATGTACATATATAAACAAAAAAGAAAGATTAAAGATTATTAGACTGATTATGAATCATTATTATCAATGAATTTATTACGTTGTAAAACAAAAATCTTTAATTATTTGACAAATAAATCCTTTTTTTTATTCCTTTAATTATAACAAAGATATTTGTTTAGATTTCAAATTCAGATTAAAAATAAAATGTGCTAGTACTTAGACATATACTTTCATAAAAAAATGTTTCTTTTAGTAAAAAGAACAATATTTGATGCAGCTATTGGTAGAATTGACTCTTGTAAAAACTTGTATGATAATGTGGTCCAACATTTACGCAAATACTATAAAATCATTTAATAATGTCAAAATAAAAAGTTTATAAAGAAGGCTGAAAAGCTTTGCAAACAATATTTAAGGCTATTGAAAACTATAATACACTCTGCAAAAGATGTTTAAAATCATAACAAATTCAGTGGCTTGTTCAGTCCAAAAACCCAATCCTTTACTTTACAAACTAATGGTTGATTCATATTCAGGTAACAAGACCCAAAATGTGAAACCGCAAGAGATTTTCAACATTTAAAGGAATTATTTACAGAACTTATAAGTTTATCTTTTTTCAGTTTAATGATTTTATATATTCTTTTAACACATGAATATTATCACCATGCAGTTTAGTCTATAAAAAACTTAAAACTTGGCTTTAAAAAACCACTGGCGATAAAGTGATGTCCATGGTTCACAACTATTTTTTAAGAATATTGCAAATTCTAATTGTATTGCCATTAAGTAGATGAAGTTTCATTGGAAAAATTTTAATAACCTTGACGATTTTCACATTGTTTAGTTTCACATTGTTTCACGATTGTTTAGTGAAAAAGATAATTGCTTTTAGTTCCCATCCTGATTGTTTAGTGGCCAATAGCCTTTGCATCATCAAGAGAATAATTAGTGAAACATAATTAACACAAAGTAAGATAAAAGCATTGAAAATTTACAGCTGCATTGTAAGCATTAGTTGAAAAATAGATATTTCCCAATACTCTGATTTCAAAATCTTGAATTTTTTCATTGCTAATGTTACACCAAGGGCAAGGGTGTGTTGATGTTATATTTTCAATACCAAAAAACATGAGCCAGTTTCATACCATTAGCATAAAAGTATTATAAACTAATAAAATTGTCACATTTTCAGCTTGGCCAATTAACAGGTTATTTGCCCGCCATCTTTTTGTTTTTCATTACCTAATGCTTCCTTATAGCTGAACCTTTTTTTTTTGAATTCACATACTGTTGTTTCTTTACAATATTTGAACATATTTAAAATCTAATAACATCAATCTGAATCTTTGCAATGTAATCCTTTAATAATTTTCTCTCCATATTAACATAATTAACATAATTTAGCTTAAAGTTAGGGTCTCAAGATTAAAATGTTTTGAAAATGCAAACCGTTTCTGGTAGACATTTTTTTCAAACAAATTATTTCCAGTACAGTGTGCGCTCTACTATAGCCTTTTCTAAATTATGTCAATAAATATATTAATAAACTTCTAAACAATATATGTGTAAATATGTAAATAAACTCAAATGCCCATAAAAAAAATAAAATAAAGAAAAAAGCATCTATGTATGAAAAGACATTTATTAAGACAAAAAAAAAAAAAAAAAATTTTTTTTTCATAATTTAGTATTTTTCTTCATTCTAAAAAAGTATCTGGACTAAAGTGTTCGGATAAATGTAAAATATAAGTTGATTTTGTTTAATAAAACACAAAAATCATACATATAACTTTAATATTGATAATATTAGTAACATCTATTTTCCCAGTCATTATTAATTTTTTTGCTTTTTTATTCTTTAATTTTATATTGCACATAATATTATATATTTTTATATATTGTGACGCTAGAATAATAGAGTTTTATCTCCATTTTTTAACGTTGTAAGAATATAACGTTGTAAGAATTTAACTTTCGATTTCTAATTATTAAAATATTTTACAGTTATTGTTGTTAATATTAATAAAATAAATGTTTTTTATGTTAATTATGTTTTATAATTAATTTTATGTTATTAATTTCATAATTTTTAAAATTGCTTGACCACAAATTAATTGTTAATTTCAATTTTATAAAATAAGGTTGAAATTGACAATGAAAAAACAAAAGCTAACAATTTTTAGAGTTATATAAATAATAATAAAAAGTTTAATATATTAAAAATATATCATTTTGAACACAAAAATAATATTACAATTAAAAACAAAAATTTAATTTTTTTTGCCATGAAAATTTGGAAATAGAACCTTATTATTTTTATCTACCGATATGCTATTAGGATCATACCAATTTATATTACTTAATAAATAATAATTAATGTGTATTCTTAGCAATAAATTTGATATTTTGATCTTTTAATTTAACGAATTTAACAAAATTTTACTTTTAATTTTAAAAATTGAAGAGAGTATAACAAATTTTGTTAAATTCTCTTAACAGTATAAAAGGGAGATAGAACCCAATTATTCTAACGTCACGATATATCTACAGACACACACACACACAGATATATATATATATATATATATATATATATATATATATATATATTAGGGCAGGTCGATTATGATATCAGAGGTTTGGTAATAAAGAGATTTGATTATCAGGTGAAAAAAATATGTTTGGCAAAATCTTTTTTGCTTTAATGAACCTTAAGTTGAGCTAAAATGATTTTTAATATTATATTTCTTTTTAAAAAAATTTGCAATGCCATATTTAGCACTAACATTTTCATAAAAATTAAAGATTGCTGCAATTATGCAAAATAAACAAATGTTATAATTATGTGGGGAAAAAAAAAATTTTGGAGTATGAAAAGTAATGTTTTCAAACAAGCATAAAGCAGGTACCTGCACAAATAGAGAACCACCAACAAACAGACAGATTTTTATTTTTTAATTTTTTTTATTGTTATTATGGTTGAGTACTGTTTTGGTTGTATAGCTTGTCTTATTTATTTTTAAATATTCCTCTATTAATCTTTATTTTTGTCTTGACAACTGTCAAAATATGCTTTGTCTAATAAATAATTCTCCTTTATTCTGATGTACTTCATTTCTTCCCTCAGGCGTTCACTGCTCGTGTATGACCATTTGGCAAATTTTATATGCCAAAGTTTTTAAATAATACAGAACCACCAACAAACAGACAGATTTTTATTTTCTTAACAATACTTATCTAAATTATTGTTTTACAATTGTAAAACTTATAACTGAAAAAAAATCATGATATGGAAAAAAGTTAACACTTGGTCACCATTAATGTCCACTTATTGTGTAGAAAAAAAGTTGGAGTACTTCTAAACATATCCAGATTAATTGACCAAAGTAAATGCAAAGTATTAACAGAAAAAAACATTTCTAAAAAGTTGGATAGGCTTTTTGATATCAGTTTCTGCACACGTGATCTTAAAGTTGTTCTATATAATGATAAAAATATCAAATGTACTCAAGATAATTGTCCTGATACGCACATGTAATCCAGATAAAAAAGTACAATGTTATTTTTTAATAATAGATAAATAAAATAAAAGTATTTTTAAATAAAATGAACATTGGTATATTACTAGTATGATTAAGTTTAATACTATGAATTTCATATGCAATTGCTTAATATTATCAAATAATATTTAGATTCCAGTAGAAGAAAGGTTATATTTAAAAGACTAGAGAGAAAAGTCAGATATAAAAGGATTATTTCAACTTGGATTATATCAAACTTATTGTTTTAGAAAAAGAAATTTTAGATGACTTAAGTAGTGACCAGAGGCTTTGATATGAATATTGCATAGGAATTGCCACTTGAAATATGAGTGTTAATCATTCAAATTGGAAAATTAGTCCCCTTAATCATTCTCGTTAGTTAACATTGGCAATATGGTTGATGTCTTTATATGCCCGAGTACTAGTTCCTGATTCTAAATTAATTATTTTGGTAACCTATATTGTCCAAAGAACCATTTTCTTACATGGTTCCTCCATAAAAAGAGCAATAAGTTACACGAAGCTCTGCCAATTATGTATTTTATGATTACCCAAATCAAGCTCCAAGGTAAAGAGGTGCAAGATATTTGCATACCAAAGTTAAAGTTCAATACTTTTTGCCTACCTCCTGAGAATAATTTGTACTCAATGTTAAAGTCAGAGGAAATATATATAAGATCAATAGCAATGCAGATAATACTTGATACTAGAAATCGTAAAAAAGATGGCCAAACTATAAACAGAATCATTAAAATTCCAGAAATTAACATTGATTCTCATATATGGTATGGACTAAATAAATACATAAATATTTTTGATAAAGACATAGATGAGCCAGCAACAACTCAAGATTTTACTGATGAAGAGATTTTAGAAAAGTTATTGTCTGGAGAAAAAATTGACCTCCCAGATCTTCCTTCACATCCACAGTGTGTCGAGAGATCTGTACAACTTGTTTCTACGGCTTCTCATACTGTTTTTGGAAAGGAAGCATGTCATAAGCATATTTTAGCAAAAATTCTAAGCAGGAAGTAAAGAAAGAGTTTTATGTCTAAATGTTATTAGGGTGAGACATATGATGATATTTTTTGTTAATTTAAAAACTAATTTATTGCTACTTGTACATGTAAAAATTAAATTTTATAAAAATGTTTAATCAATGGGTTAATCATTACCTCGCGTGGTTGAACATTGTTAAAATAATTTCTAAATAAATAAAAGATCTTATTTTCAATGCAATTTTTTTTAAATGGAAATTTGTATTTATATAACTTCAACTTTTGAAAGTTATTTCAAAGGATTTTATTAGGCGTAATTAAACTTATTGGGTAAATTTAACTTATCTGAAATAATTAGGATTGCTTTCTATTTTACAATTATTCTATTATATAACCCAGGCATCAACCTATTTTAAGTAGAGAGGATTTTCCTTAAGTCCAAAAAAAGTAGTAATTCGACCTTTCACTTAAATCCAAAAAAAGTAGTAGTAAAAATAAAAGTAAAAATTCGACCTGCCCTTATATATATATATATATATATATATATATATATATATATATATATATATATATATATATATATATATATATATATATATATATATATATATATATATATATATATATATATATATAAAAAATTAAAAAAAGTACTATATTTAAAAAAAATAAGTACTATTTTTAAAATAGATCCCAATGCAAATTAAAAACTGCTTTAAGACAATGCTAATAAAAAAATTATTTTATTATAAAACTATTTACTTATTACCACTTTCATAATCGACTTTTCCCAAGCAATACATGCATTCAGCATTGACAAACACATAGACAGCTGTGAACATGATCGAGCTTCAGTTACAGCATCTCTCCATAATTTAAGAGCTGGGGTTGTTGGCTGGCAATTTGAACTAATCAAACTTTCCTCTTCTTCATTTTTATTAGGAACCTTTTCTAAGCGGAAAGGGTGCTTCAAGTAACGACGCTCTATACCAGCTTCGAGTGAAAGTAAGTGTGAACTTGCAATTTTTAAAATATTTTCATTTTTGAAAGATTTTTCATCAGTAGAAAATTGAAGTGATGATGAAACCTTTTGAGATAAATGCCAACCCTACAAAAAAAAAAAAACCTAATTTATTTTGAGTTTTAAATATCAACCCCAGAAAAAAAGTTGTTATTCAAGTTTTTAAACAGATATTCAGAAAATCAGTACTTAATCACTAATTATTTTAAAAAAGTGATAAAAAATTTCAGCATTTTTTAACTTAGAAAATGTGCAAAACTTATTAGGATAATAATTTATATCATATCTAAGTGTACAGCAATAACAACTGACACACACATATATAGAGATAAATTGACACTATAGTGAGGGTTTAAGTACATACATTAATTAATGGATTAAATCAACTAGGGGTTTGGGCAGCAACCATTACTTATTATTAGCAGCACATACCTTCAGGATACTTGCAATAAATTAATAAAATTTCATTACAAGACTATTGCAAGTATTTTCAGTTATTTTTGATTAGGATTTGCCAGCCATTTCTACTTATTTCATCCCATAAAAACTAAATTATATTATAATACAGTGACCGAGGAGGCCAATCCATGTATCCTAATATTTGTTTAAAACATTCTTGTGATAAAATATAATTATTACACTATTTTGACGTGTACTTGCAAAAAAAAAAAAAAAAAGCAAAATGCTTATAACTCTTTGCTCTGACAATAAGATATGACAATGAAGACGGTCTTATTAAAATTTCTTTCATTTCTGACAAAATTCCTTAGTTTGTGGCCAGTAGAAGAATCCCAAGTTTTCAAAAATTCACCTTTAACACACCATAACACACTGATCAATTATTTGTTTGCAACCTTTCCAAACACACATTGAAATTGTTTTCCCCTAAAAATTGCTTATTTTAATTTGTAAATAAGACCTTAGGGCTTAATTCTGATTTAATTTCCTTCACAATTGCATACTTTTAAAAATAATACTTAATGTTTAAGTAACATAATAATATAAAATAAATAAAAGAAAAATTTTTAACATTTTTAGTACATCTCTGTGGCAAAAAGGGTTAATTTTAATTTCATTAGAATATGCCTAAAATAATTTAATAATCATTACAATTTCAAAATATATATTATTTATTTTGCAAACCTGTTCTTCCTTTCTCTTCTCACACCCTCTCTTTTCCCCACTATACATATCAAACTTTGTGATGAAGCGAGAACGATTGCTTCGCTTTATCACTTTTTGGCATAAACTCAAATAAAAAATCTAAGTGCAAGAGAGCCAATCATTTAATTCTTCTATTCAAAAACTTAATTCAGCATGTTTTTTTTTTTTTTTTTAATTTGCACAGTTTTTTAGGGTCCATTTGACAAAGAAAAAAAAAAATCCAAACTTAAATGTTTAAAAATCAAATATCTAACGTAATATTTATAAATAACTTGCGTTATATTTATAAATATCTTATAAAGAAATATCTAGCGTAATAACTTATCAAACTAAAATTTCACTTATAGGTTTGATTTGGTACAGCTTCAATCACATTCTATTAATTAATGACTATTATATTTAAAATTCAAAAACATCAAATAAAATTCAAAACTTTGGAATATCAAATATTTTTTGTCAAATATAATTTAATAAGCTAAATATTTTCACTGATATCTTTGAATCGGTTAAGCTTATATTAAAGTCTATTTATTAAAAAAGTTGATGCTAAAAGAAACTAAAAATTAAAAAAGTTTCAATAAATACTTCGTATAACAAATATATTTGTTATACATTTTGTATATTGAAACTTTTGGAAGCTTGCTTACAAACAACAAAAGAAAAAATATAAAGTCACTAGTTTCACAAACACATTTCTCAAAATTTACATCAGTATATAAGTTATTTGAAACTATACTATACTATACTATATATATATATATATATATATATATATATATATATATATATATATATATATATATATATATATATATATATATATATATATATATATATATATATATATATATATATATATATATATATATATATGTATATATAGTATATAATATATATAAGTATATATATACTTATATACTATAAGTATATTTATACTATAAATATATACAGTAGGGTTGTCCAGGATTAGTATGAAGTGTCAAAACGTCGTGAAGTGAAGTTTTTCCCATTATAATATCAATACTATGTCTAAAAATAATTTTTACAGATTTTTGATAAGTGATCATGTGGTCCCTCAAGGCCTCTGAACATGTTCTCTATTTTTTGCATAAACTGCATTTTTTTTTTTTTAAAGAACCGCAATAACCAAAGAATCATTTCTAAAAAGTTTTGATTAGTTTTCAGTGGCTTTTATCATTCGAGTTTTGATACCGTTTAGTGAAAGAATAAATTTAATTTTATCAATGAAGATATTGTAAAAATGTTGACTCGAAGTAGTAAAAAGCATGATCCATCACTAAAAAATTAAATCACTAAAGGAACTCCAAGCAGGCCTGTCAAAAGAACGTTAACTGATTTCTGGTTAATTTGTCATCCTTCAACATCAATTAATTGGGTCAAACTGCCTGATTGTAGGCAAATTATGTTTTATTAAATATGTTTCATTTCTAAGGAACGATCCAAAAAATATTAAAAATAAAGTGAAGAATGAGGATATTGCTCATATTGGTTGATGCAGTCCTTGTTTTTTGGAATATGCCACACATAAAAACTAAATACAGACAGAAATGCATGTTTGATGTTATGAAACTTTGGAATGAATGGTAGATTTTGATGAAAAATAAAGGAAGAACAACTGACCCTGGAAGCAAGAGAGCAAATTTTATTGAATGATTTGATTCTCTTTTTAAAATTGGTGCACCTGACGCCATAGATAAAATAAAGAAACCAAGATTTTCGTCAGAAAGAAAAAAACAAGATGATATTGACTTTTATTTGGATCAACAACAGGAAAGAGCATGTATCAATGGGCATACTAAAATGAAACCAAAACCGAAATAAAACTTGCAAGACAAACAGGTGAAGCAAGAATTACAGAACAAGAACAGGTTGGATATTTTAAGAGAAAAAAGGTCGAAGGAGTGGCTGCTTTGCTAGAATATGATTCTGAGACTTAAATGAATATGACTGAACTGAAATTGATACTGATTTTGAAACAAATCTACAACAAGAAGCAACAAAAGTAGATCAAGGTGAATATGTAACTCTTAAGCTACCTAGGAAAATAATGCAATTTGACCAGATATCCAGCGCTGCTGATCGTCTCAAGTTGTCAGACGATCAAACAATGATTGTATCAACATTGATAAAAACTGCTGGAGGTAATCTTGAAGATTTTAAGATCTACATCTTGAGATCTACAAAAACTGGAAGAAAAAAGATTGCAGCAAGTGTCATGGAGACAAAACCCTCCCCAATAAAGTGCTTTGCATTGGGATGGTAAACTTTTAAAAGATATGCTGGGAGCCATATATGAACGACTTGCAATTCTTATTTACGGAGCTCCCGAATACCCAATCAGCAGTACATTAATGGGCCAGAGCTGGCAAGCCAGGTCTGGCAAAAACATGTGTGATCCAGTTAAGTGCCTTAGCTGGCGAACTGGCTAGCCGTTGTCGGACCATAAGCGTATCTTTAAAGGCTTGCCAGCGAAGGTACAAAAATGAATTGCGCAAAATGTTTTTAACGAAGATGCAAATTTTACAGAGAAAAATGTACTTACCCAATCAGCAGTACATTAATGGGCCAGAGCTGGCGAGCCAGGTCCGGCAAAACACATGTGATCCAGTTAAGGGCCTTAGCTGGCGAACCAGAATTGGCTTAACATTACCGGACTAATATTAGCATATCATTAATGGCTCGCCAAAGGTACAAAAATGCATGGCGCAAAATGTTTTTAATGTAGATGCAAATTTTACGGAGAGAAAAATATATTTATGTTTTCTTTCAAGTATATAATTTTCATTATATCACATCCTGTATATTTAGTAATCTTGGTTTTAGTTATAAGCTATTGGTCCAAAAGAAAAAAAATTCGAGAAGTTAAAATTATTTTAGTTTAACTTTTATTTATTTATTTATTTGCCCGAAATCAATCAAATGAAATGGTTATTGATGGAGCCTATAACTATGATTACATAGGTAAAACTGGGTTTTATTTTTAAAACAGTCGTTCAAAGCAATTGCAAAAAACATGGGTTGAACACTTCAGATAATGAACCTTCCAACACCACTGCTCTGGATAATAACCTAAATATTTCTTATCAAATTGATAATGAATTTAGTGAATTTGAAGCTTTATCTGATAACGATTCAGATAAAAGTGATAAGAATATTGTAATAGATGAACTAGAAGGTGATTTAGCATTTTGATCTTCTAAACATAATATCACACAAGAATTCACTGATTTAATTTGCTGATCTATGACCAGAGCTGCTTAAATGTTAATGCATCCTAAAATTTTATTTAAACTTGTGTTTTTTATTTTTTTTAAATAAAATTCATTATATGTATTTTTTATGCTATATTTTATATGATCTTATCATCATTGTCATCATCCCCCACCTTTATTTTCCTTTACTCAATATATTTATTCAACCTTAATTATATTTCTTTATAATTTTTAATTTGGCGTTGAGTAAAACAAGTACTTCACTAAGTTTTAATTATTATTTGTTGACTAAAGTATACACTTATTAACTCCGTTAATGTTTAGCCTTAAAATTATTTTTACTGAACATCGTAATATCTTAAGGTATTATTTTGTATTTCATGTATACTTTTTAATGTATACTTTAAGGTGTTTATAATATATCATAAAAATTTCTATAAACTATATTTTAACATAGACTTATGTGTTTAGAGTACATTAGTAACCTGATGAAAATTATGATAGTGACTCACAAGATTTTTATGAACATCAAGAATTAAAAAAGTCTTGTCTGCAGACACCTGTCTCGGTATTAAACAAAAGTAAAATGAGATTGGAAAAAGTGATCATAATTACCTCTGTGATTAAGGTATTTTGACTATTAATTTGTAGCCTATTGCAAAACATTTTATGAATTATAACTAATGTTAA